TGGGATTCTCCCTCTCCGTTTTGTTTTTCTGTGATACGGGGAGACAGTGAAATCCTGTTTGTGAGGCAGTTTGCCGGGGTGCTGATGTTGAGTGCGAATCCTCGTTAGCCAGGTGCTTCCCAGGCCTGTGCTTTGTGTCACAGTTACACCGGTTGCATGTGGGTTCACAGAATCACAGAATGTTGGGGTTGAAAGGGAGCTCTAGAGATCACCAGTGCCACCCCCTGCCAGAGCAGGGTCACCCAGGGCAGCCCCACAGGAGCTTTTCTGAAAGTCTCCAGAGCAGGAGACTCCACACCCTCTCTGGGCAGCCTGGGCCAGGGCTCCGGCACCCGCACAGCCAACAAGTTTCTCCTCATGTTGAGGTGGAACTTCCTATGTTGTAGGTTGTACCCATAGTTGAGACTGGCGTTTTCATGGAAGCCCTCCCAGCCTGCGGCCACTCCAGCGTGGGACGGCACAAGTGACCATGGCCAGGTCTGCGCTGAGCGGCGAGGAAGGTGGATGCTGTGCTGGAAAGGCAGGGACACAGCGTGGTGGTCACAGAGATCATAGATCTCTACAACTGCCTGACTGGAGGTTATGGAGTGGTCAGGTCGGTCTCTTCTCACAAGTTACAACCCATAGGACACAAGGAAATGGCCTCAAGTTACGCCAGGGAAGGTTTAGGTTAGACATTAGGAAAAACTTCTCCAGGGAGAGGCTGCCCAGGACAGGGGTTGAATCACCATCCTTGGATGCGTTTAAAAGCCGTCTAGATATGATGCTCAGGAACGTGGTTTAGAAGTGGGCCTGGTAGAGTTAGGTAACGGTTGGACTTTAGGATCTTAAAGGTCTTTTCTAACCCAAACCGATTCTGTGATTCTGTGCTTAAGGGCTGAAAATGGAGCACAGCCCCTGTCCCAAGATGGTCCCGAGTAGAGGCGTGGTGTGGATTTGCAGCCCTGGGGAGAGGAGGGTGTTTGTGTTTCAGGAACCGCGGTGTCCAGCTGTTGCTAGGGAGGATGTGTCGCAGCCTCACTTGCTCAGACTCTTCCTGATGTGGCTCCTCCTCGTGTATTTTGAGCAGCTCCCAGAGCAGAGGGTGCCTGACAACATGGTTCAGTCCAGTGAGTGACATTGGTCACATTTATGTTCAAATCTTGTCTGAGCAGCTGTTTTTTATAATGAATTTGGCCAAACGTTGATGAGGTGTGAAAGCAACAACTGCAGACCCGAGGGAGGAAGGCAGGAAAGCTGCGTGAGAACCGAGGCAAACGTAATTGCTGTATCTAGCAAACCTGGAGCAGGTCAATAAAAATGGGAGGAGAACTGAGCTATCTGACAGCAGATAGGCGGGGAGAGAAGTTATGTGACTCCTGAAAACCTGTGGAGGTGTAAAAATTGGGTGGGAAGCTGACTGGGATTACAGGTTAAAAACAGGATTCCTCATGCATCTTCGTCGGACACCAGTCTGGCAGTGGGTTTCAGTTCCTTATTTGGTCTTTCCAGGCAGAGATTTTTAATATTCCTTAGTAATCCTGAAATGAAAAGTCAGTTGTATAATATATTCCCAGGTAGCAGCTTAATGTACCATAGAAAAGTTTTGTTTTACAAAGGACCAGCACTTAGCAAAGCGAAGCCAGGAGCAGCGTGGCTCTGCTGGAAGGTTGAATTAGTGATACGGTCTCTCCGCTGGAAGGTGTTTCATGTGGGAGTGTGACCAGGCTCCCTCCCCCTCCGGATAGGAAGGAAGGAAAATGGAGTCTGATAAGAATTTTATTTTTTTTTCTTGCACTGTCAGCTAATTTTTTCCTTCTGGATTGTTTCTTGGTAGCCAAGGTTATATTAATGCTCTAGAAATATGAAACTTCTCAAACAGGAAGAGAACGGATGAAATATCTTGCAGATGCTTTTCTAGGGAATAGCAGATGCATGAGAGCACTGGCGGCTCGGTGGGGGGTTGGTGTGTCCCTGTCACTAGGGCTGTGCGAGAGGACGGTACTTTTGTCGTTCTGATACAGCACTGAGCTTTATGGCCATAAAGGTGACGCAATCATCCGATAATTCCGATTGCAAGGGAATTCTGGAGGGCATCTGGTCCAGCCTCCTTTCAGAATGAGATGGATCAGGCTGCTCAGAGCCTCGTCTGATACAGTTTTCAGTATCTCTGGGAATGGAGTTTCCGTCACCTCTCCAGACTCCTCTTGCAGGGATTGTCCCAGCTGAAGAAGTCCCACGTGAAAATGAGGAGAAACCCAGGGTCAGTGGTTCGGCAGTTGTGTTCAGCAAAGAAGAGGCTAGTGCAGTGGGTGTACATGGCTTCACAGCCCTAAGTATGACCAGAAAGTCCAGGTGGGATGAAACCTCCTAAACACCGGGTTGGAAGCGGCAGAGTTCTCCTGTGGTGCTCCAGGAGAGGAGCTGTGCTTTTCCTTTCGTGAGCTGACGTGCACTTTCTTGCTGGCTCTTCTCTTCCCTTCCTGTCTCCCTCAACCAGTTGCTCCTTATCCTTGCACCGTGTTTCCACGTCTCCCTCTTGCTTTCTGTTTTGTCTGGTTGTGCAAACTAATGGAGTAGCACAGCTGCTTTAAGATTGCAGGCTGCTTGTTCTGACTGTTGTGTTGCAGTCCTGCAAACTTCATTTGCAGTCAGGTGTTTGGTGTGGTGTTTTTTTAAAGTCAGATTAGCAGAGGAGTAGAAACCGTGGGATCGGATCAGTGTGGCTTTTGTACTGCTGGCAGTATGTGGAAGAAAATGATAGCTGAGACAGCTCACCTCGATTTCAAGAGGGCATGCAGGAGGGTCTTTGAAATAAAGGTGTTCCTCTCCCACCCCTAAACCTGTGCGACTGTGGGTCAGAGAATGGTTCTTGTGTGAAAGAAATGGCTGGTTGGGAGATGGGAAAGAAGTGAGATCCTCCTGTGTGGCTCATGTTATGGGCCAGGGAGGGCAGCGCTGTGCTACTGTCCCGCATTTTGATCCTGAATGATCTTGATGGACAACAAACACTGAAAAACTGTGCTGAATTGCTGAGAATGGTGAACTTTAGTGTCTAGAGCCATTCGAGGTGTCCCAGGAAGCCCGAGGCATCCCAGTGATGGGGCTGGCAGATGTGGCACCGGGCTGCCAGCCTTTGGGTGCCAGCTGGGGTGCCCTTGGACCAGAACTGGCACTGGGTGCCTGGGGTTGGGGAACTAGACGTTATTGGAAGTGACTGCAGGCTAAAGTAATGGTTGCAGTTCAGTGTGCAGTGATGCTCATGAAGAACAATAGTCCAGGATTTACATCCGTGTTCGTGATCTTGGCCGCGTAGCAGTTATGGGCAGCAGTGACCGACAGGCGAATAAGATGCTCAGATTTAGGAAAACAGCGAAGAGCAGAGCACAGTTGCTGCAAAAATCCCTAGTGTGCCCACATCTTAAAAACTGTAGCTCTGGTTCCCGCAGCTCTAAAAAGGTATTTTAGAAATGCAGGAGGTACAGGGAGGGGTAGTGAAGGTGATCAGGAAGGTGGATGTGTTTCTGTCTAAGGTGTGGCTGAATAGGCTCAGATTCTTCCTCTTATGAAAGCGGTGACTGAGCAGGCTGACGGGGTCTGTGAATCTGTAGGGTGTGGAAAACATTGTCTTTTACAGGACAAGAAACAATCAAATGGGAGGTTTCGAGTGCAAACGGCTTGGTTCTCTGGGCAGCTAGAGAAAGTCCTTGCTACAGGAGGACACCGGGTGCCCTGAGTTTATGCAAGTGCAAAAAATGACTTTAGTGTGTGATGGAAATTTGTCACAAGTATTGCCTGAAGCACCTGAGCTAACAGTTGCTGGATGCTGGAGCAATAGCCCTAATAGTCCACGGTTAGAGGTGTGAGGGAACATCCTGGGGGCAAATGGGTGGCTCGAGTGCCACCAGCAGTGCAGGCTTCCTGCAAGTGTCTCTGAAGGTGTTTGATACTTCCCTTGGTAAGCAGCTCTGGTTCTTTGAGGTCTCAGAGAGCAAATCTTGAGCGTGATCAAAGAGATTTGATTCTGTAGTTGAAATCTTTAGGGGGTGAGAAGTGGTGGTTGCATTTCTGCAGCCAGCTAAAGACCCGAACACCGCGGCACAGTTCTCTGCGTGACAGTCTGCAGGTGGGACACTGAGAGAGTTACTGTGCTGTGATGGGCGAAAGGTTTGTTCACCAAGAATTTAGTCAGGGTGACTGCTTGCCATCACGTATGTTGTGTCCTTGGAGAGCTGAGCTTCCAGAGTCACTGTAGTTGGGTCTTTAGGTATCACTGTTCCTTACACAGTTGCTGCTGGACCCAGGGTGCAGAGCAGACATGAGGTGAGAGCAGGTAGGCGGCCTAATAAATGCCACTGTGACTGCAAACCTCTGGAGTGGCTCCCGGAGGCGTTGGGCACGCTGTGACTGGTGTGGATCCATCTGGCTTCCCTTTGCACTTGTGGATTTGCATCAGTGCTTCAGGGATGGTTTCGGGGCCGGTGCCAGCCTCTCTGCCCACTACCAGCAGAGCTGGGGACAGTGGGACACGTGCGCTGCAGTCCCCCGTGGGGCTGACGTGCCACCCTCTCTTGGGCGTTGTGGTGCTCATTCCAGATTTTACTGACCTGACACGTCCCAGGTACCTGCCAGGTGCCCTGGGACGGGTTTCTTGCTGCAGCGGGGTGCTTTGGAGAGCCGCAGCACGCCTGGCACGCTCTGCCACGCGCCGCTGCCTCACACGTGCCCTTCTGGGGCTTGGTGGGGTTGGATCCCGCTGTCCGACGTGGCTGTATCGTTCTGCCTGCTCTGACGGTGATTTCATTCTGTTTGTCTGCCTCTTTAGTGACGGTCCCATCTGTCGAATCTGTCATGAAGGTGGAAATGGGGAGGGACTGCTTTCCCCGTGTGACTGCACAGGAACACTGGGCACCGTGCACAAGAGCTGCCTGGAAAAATGGTTATCCTCCTCCAACACAAGTTACTGTGAGCTCTGCCACACAGAATTTGTTGTAGAGAGAAGACCGAGACCTTTGACAGAGGTACCGCTTTCTTCCTGCTTCACTTTTGTTTCCTTATCACTTGAGAGAAAATGACTGATTTGCCCTCCTGTCCTCGTGGTTCTTGCTGTCTCCTCGTCCTCGCAGTACCTTTGCACTCACAAAGAGCAATTTGTTTAGAGAGAACAAGTCTCTTACCAGTCCAAGTGACGTAGCTGCAAAAATGCAGCAGAGATGTTTGGGGCAACTTTTACCTGGGAACCCCCCCAAGGCTGCCCAGCGGTGACAGGGCTACAGAAAACATTGCACTCATAGCTACCCTTTAACGCCTGAGCATCCAAAAGTAGAGGTCACCGCATGACCTGCTGAAATACGAAGCTCTCAGAAATAATCTTTAGTTCCTCTTAGTTTTAATCTTATCTCCTCCCAGTGTTGCAGCAGTGCAGCTCGCCTGTATGTGACTTTGTTTCGTGTTCTGCTCTCAGAAGTGAGGTGTGGTGTTTGCTGATACAGTTCACAAAAGACCCGTCCTCTCGTGACTAATGTTAATGTGTGCTTCAGAGCCCTTGGGTCCTCCTCCTTCCCACTGAGCCCTGTGCCCTGCGACTGCCCCATGTTCCCCGAGTCGAAGGAAAAGGCAGGGTATGGCTCAGCCCGTCCTTACGTTCCTCTCTGCGTTGACTGTAGGGGAACAAGTTTCCTGATGGGTCCATCAGCCTCCCAGAGCTGGAAGGTACAGTCCAAGCTCTGGATAGTGGGTTGGTTTGGTGGTTTTGTTTTGTTTTTTTTAATCACAAGGCTCTCTTCATTCCGCTTTTTAGGCAGTCTGTTGCTGTGCTCATGTCTCAGACTTCCTTTAGCCCCTGAAGTTTATAGCAGCCTCCTGTAATGAAGCCCTTTACAGGTGGGAACAAGGGCAGCTTGAACCAGGCCATCGCGG